AATTTCTTATATTCTCTTTTTTATGATCATTGTTGCATATAGGACAGAGTACAGATCTATTAAAATCAAAATAATTATTATATTTAAAACTATGTTTCAAGGTTAAATAAGGAAATCGCTCTAATACTATTTTAATAACATGTTTTTGTTTCTTTTCCGGGTCTTTAGGTAGAATAGAAATTGATGATCGAAGTTTGGATGGTGTAGGCTGAACATTTATCTGTGGTACAAATAACGTCTTTTTTTCGGCATCCTTTTCGATTTGTGAGGATTCGGGAGTTTCAGACTTTATCCAAGGATCGAGTCCAGTCTCTTCCGTATATGCTCTATATAAGCTCAAACGAATTTTATCTGTCTGAGAACTTGGTAAATCAACTAAATTAGCATGCCAGTCCAAATATTCAGGAGTCAAGACTTTATCCATGTTATTGTTTTATACGATCACAAATTCAAATTAAGTATGAGTCGTGTCTTTGTCTTACTTATATAACAAGGATACTTACGTGCTGACACTCTGTGCATATCCCGAAATAGTAACTAAAAAAATAATATAGTTAATATTTACGATCATTTGAAACCGGAGAATTTAAGGCAGTATGACTTTATGATTTATGCTGTTATCTCGATTTCATGCTTTCCACATTTAATAAAATAAGATCCAGCTCCATATCTACCTTTTATACTTTTCTCATCTTTATGACTTAGCTTGCATGCTGGACATAACGACTTCTCAATAATTCCATAATAATCAAATTTTTCGCTACTAAATTCTCTATATATATCAGGATACTGGCCTAATATTTTATTACGAAAATAAGCACGATCATGAGCTGAATTATTCTGTTTTTCAGGTAAGGTCTTTGTTTCAGGTTGAGATACAGATAATGCATTTATCTCAGTTTCCAATAAAGTCTTTTCGGGATGAGATACGGGTGGTATACTTATCTTAGTGTTTGATATATCGTTTGAACCAAAAGGTTCAGCTCGATCCTGACCGTTGGTCAGGATGTCATGTGATTTTTCTGTGACTTGTTTTATGATATTTAAAATCTGGGCATCGGTTAATTCTGATATAGATCTTGCACCATATGAAATTCCATAAACTTTATCTATACCGATTCCCTTAACTTCTTTCTTGGTTATGGGATCAATAATTTTTCCAAACAGCTTATAAATTGTTCCAGCTCTTTGAGTTTTTTTATACAGATTTGCTTCCGAAACTTTGGGCAAAGAAGCTTTAATCATAGTATAAACTTGATTTTTTGCAGTTTTCTCAGAAACACCAGTTTTAGATCGAATGTCGGCAACATTGTTTTGATAGGCTTTTCTATAAGTATACCAGCATATGACCTCTTTTTGCTTAGCCTTTATTGTTTTGCCTTCCGCGATCTCAGCGTCAGAAAATAACTGGGCCAACTCTCGTCCGTCTTTATCATTATTTACTTCCACATTGCTATCGTGAGTTTCGGAAATATTAGTCTCACGAAATGATGCTTTCGCATCTGATAAGGTAAGTGACTTTTCTTTTTGAATAAACAGGATTACTTCTTGAATTATACCTTGTTCTATTTTCTGATTATATGGTGTTTTTATTTTAGAAGAAATATCACTTTCTTGTACCTGAACAGTTGACGGAAGAGGCCTCTGAGACGAAATATACCTATTTTCTTTAGTTTGATCCTGATTGATAGATGAATTGCCTTCTATAACTTTAGATTCTTTCGGAAAACTATTGCTTTGGCAAGTTTGCTTACATTGATTAACCGAAGATAAGTCTTGAGATCTAAGCTTCTTTTCTTTAATGTTCTGAATTATTTCATTACTAACCCTTTCCTTATATACTGAATCATGAAAGTCGTCCATCTCCTTCTCTTCCAATGATTTAATCTCTGTATGGACAAGCGATGCAGGAGTATCATTCTCTAACGATTTGGAGTTGGTATCAGCGGAGCTAGCATGGCCAATGCACTGGTTTATAACAGGATCGGATGCATTAATAATACTCTCAGAAGAATTGTCTAACCTGTCTACAGCATTATTTTGCGATTGCTTCTGCTCCAATTTTGCAAATCGTTTCTCACTTTCTCTTGTTGACCGTTCTAGTTCCATGATTCTAGCATTAAGCTCGATATCTCTTAATTTCGCTTTTTCGGCATTTTGTTCTAATTCCATTATTCTAGCCATAAACCCCGCTTCCTTAGCCTTAAGCCCCGCATTTTCAGTTTCAAGCTCAATAATTCTTTGTTTTAATAAATCTAATTCGGATTGCATTTTTAGTAATAACTTTTTATAAAAACGATTTATTTAATTTTTGGGTTAACTACTGTAGCATAAATAAAACACGTGATATCCTGACCAATGGTCAGGAACTTGCCGATTGATCATATATATTCATCAATACAATAAATTCACGAAATACATATGCAAAAAGTAAACGCGATTATGTATGCGAAATCGACCCTCCAGGGGTCAGCTTTATTAACTGCTTTATATAATTGCAAATGCATACATTTCTTTGCGGAATGACAGGTTAAATTGGTTTTACTATCTAATTTAGGGATGAAAAACAAATACAACTAATTTATTCTCATTCTGATATTGTTCTTAATTTCTATATTATACTATTGCGAAACCTATAATCGAGCAGAGGTCGTTAGTAAGATGAAATGCAAAGCAATCAATCAAAGAAATATTTATAATGGAACGCACCACAAATTCCTCAACATCAGTATCATGCCTCGTATTATTGTTCACATCCCACCAGCATGCGATCATACTAACTTTTGTAAAGTCGAGGTCATGCCAAAAGTGTACGACTCGAAGGCCCTTTTGTAATTGAGATTCGGTTGGCCAGTACGGCTCTAAAATGGCGTTTTCTTCACAGGTGAAATGAATAACCCATGTTTCATCTGCAGGTAGTTTCTTATCGTACAGGAGTGCCCGTTCGTAATGTTCATTGAGCTCTTTTTTTGTTGCTGTAGCTAAAAGCTCGAGGGCAATTGTTTTATTAGGTCGTGAGATGACTATGTCAACATATTTATGATTGATATGTCCACTAGTACGATATTTCAGGTGCCATTGTCCGGTTACCGTGAATCCAACAAGCCAATTCGAC